AATAATCTGCTGTTATGTGTGTAATTCAGTTACCACCATGGTTTCCAAGCCATCATCTAATCTACACACTCAACAATCCCTCAGTTTCACTTTGCCTAATCCAACAACAAATAAAAAAAATCACTATATAACACTTCTGACACACACTTAAAGAGTGTTCATACCTATTCATACGATCACAGACCTATATGTGAACACAGGCTTTTTCTCAGTGTCATTTTTGCAGCTTTGAGAACATGCAAAAAGGGCAGTGGTCTCATAACGCAAATGTGGATGCCCACTGTGGATACCGTGGTCATGCTTCCTCTTCCTCTTCTTCCTCCCTCTCTTCGTCACCTTGGTCACCATTGGCATTTGTCCACCATGACACTAACCCCAAGCCTTGATCATTGATTGCTCCCTGTGAAAAAAATACATATTTAGTGAACAAACATTATACTATTAATAATATATTTCTTCTAATGCTTGAAAAATTCTTCTCTTGTTTTCAAATATAAAACACACACACTAAAAGAAAATCCCACTATTTTGCATTCCCATTCTTCACATCGCTCTGTCTGCATATAGCCATAACAGAAGTTGATTTAACCCAATGGTGACGGGTGAAGAAAACAAAACAAAACAAAACAAAACAAAACAAAACAAAACAAAACAAAACAAAAAACAAAAAACAAAAAAAAAAAAAAATCTACACTCTGGCAAACAATGGCGGTGCGCTGACTTTGAGCGCGTGAGTTTGGTATATCAGCCCGAATCACTGGCTCGCCATGCTTTGCCGTGCCACCGCGGCCTACAGCCGCACGCCACTTTTCGAGCGGTTTGTTTTCACGCCTATCAGCGTCACCCGTCGGAAAGGGGTGAAAAAAAATATATACTCACAACTTATTGATATAAGGTATATCCACAATAGTTTTTTGTGAATTTTGTTTACAATTTGTGACTATACATGCACTTATTCACCCAACACTTAATTAATAGGCCTGTCTGACCTCAACTGAGGTATATGCATGCCCTTCTGACATCAGCAATCTAAGAAGTCTGGATGGTACCACCACCATTTTCATTTATATATATTTGGCAACTTTTGTCCTCTTACTATGTAATGGAGGGCTAAGTAACTGCAAAACATTATCTTGAGTGCACTAACACCTGTTTTCTTGTTTGATAAATGTGATCAATGATTAGATATAGCCTTTCAAGTGAAATGATGGCATTCCCCAAAAAATGCAAATGCTGCAACCAAATGTACTGTAAGCAGGATGATGTGCTTTAATTTTTTTACATGAGCAGCTGACCACAAGTAAATCCCAGCTTGTGGCTTGGAATGAGTATAATAAACTGATTTTTATACTTCCATGTGCTTCATAACTAGTATCAAAATCATACTTACAAATACAATGTAGGGAATTTTTCCTTCCTTCCTGTCTGCTACTGCACCATCTCCCTCAGTCATACCAGGTGCTGATGGAGTTGTATCTGTGAACTGCTCTGCTATCACTTTGAAGCGTACCTTTTCCCCTGCAGAAAAGAGATTTGTTACTTTCATTACCATACAAGAAGTTTAAGATTTCAAAATGGCAAAACTACACACACTCAAACCAGCCCTAGCAACCACCTGTATGGAATGATTATCTGTCTTTAACAATCTCCCAAAATTCATGATATAAACCTGTATACAATGGTCACCTAACTTAAGAGTGACCAGTGACTGCCCTGTTGAACTGAAAAAAATGTGTACACAACCACCACCTATTCACACTCATATGGCTATTCTGCTGCTACGAATTTATTTCTATGTATTTCTTAAAGATACCTACAAAATAGCACTAGGACAGTTCAAGGCAGAGTGTACAAAATGGATGCCCACCTGTCTAGAAAGAACACCCACCTATATAAAGACCACTTTCTTTGTTTCCTTAACCTGTCCTTCTGTAATGGACTTACTTTATATGTGATGATAATAATAAAACAACAGTACTCTAAAAAACTTTTTAAAGAAATACAAGCCTTATTCATAAGTTTTACATTTACTGCCGTTAAACAATAGTCAAAATAGTAACTCACCAATATCCATGAAAAGGTGATGTGTTTCATCATCAGTCTGGTAATCCCACACCCAAGTTCCATCGGTCTCGTCAAAGTGAGAGTTTGTCATCATGGCATCCCGTCGGATATAAACATCCTCATAGAATCCAAGACTTACTGAAAGCAAGGTAAAGGTCAAATACATCTCTTGAACACAAAAAATATACACATAAAAATCTAAATTTGCACAAGAAATGAACAGCCCAAGCACCTTTCATAATGTGTATGATTTGTAACAGTGAAATATTTTTCTAAGTAATTAAAAATTCATTCTTTCATATGTGAGTTTCAATGACACTATAAGCATGCAATTTTTGCACTCATAATTACAATTATATTAGTATAAAAATATTTAAGGAATGGGGTTAAATAGTGAGGTCAAGGAGGCTTAGTTACTGAATCATTGGCGACAAAGATCTTGTGGAGCCATCAATGTATAACATACATAAATAAGTATATTATGTTTATTAAAAGTCAAATATTGTGGTCAGTGCATGTAATCTATACTTGCTCTCCTACCACAAATGGGTTAATGTCTTATTCTTTAGATGTTTCATCTCTTATACACATATTCAAAAACAGAACCCACACATACATACAAAAAAAGAGTAAAGAGATCCCCTAACCATATTTACCTTGGAGACCATCAGCATCTGCAGACTTGATGGTGCCCTCCAAGATCTCTTCCATGAATGGTCTAAATACAACATAGCGGAATGTGACACGTGTATGTGAAGCTCCATCGCCAGGGAAAATGTATGAGTCTCCCAAAGATGTCACATCAAACAAAGCTATACAGAGACCGACATTCAAAACCACCTGTAGAGGAAAAAAAAGGATATGAAGAGCAAAGAGGAAATATGTTGGACCTTTTCCTATTTATGTTAATCCCTAATGAACTGAATGACAAAAATCTTTTTATCAGGAACTTGAAGGAAAACATTCAAGATCTGTTGAAAATAATAATAATAATAATAAATAAAAATAAAATAATAATAATGATAATAACAAATAAAAAATAAAAATAAAATGTCCCTCATCTTTGGAGCAATGATGTGGGCTGTGGGAAAGGAATGGTTGACTTGGTGTAATTTCCATAAGTTGGAACTTAGTCCAGCCAGTGCTGTAGTGAACAAATCAGTGTTTTGTTACCCTACACTTCACAGGTTAACAATATTTCTTAATACAATCTAATCTAATTGTACAAGTTATTTCAAGGAAAGCCTGCATGGTAAGAGCAAGGAGGGCTTTCTGAAATGCAGGGAAAATTCTAAGGGGGTGGGCTGGACTGCTGGGAGGATGGATAAAGATGTAGTCAATAGCAACAAATTAAACATATACTGCCCTTACAACTTGGAGGAGGAGGAAAAAATCACTGAGGGGTGAGGTTAATTTCAGGGGGAATGAAACTTGCCTCCTCAGTAAATCTTGGTATGATAACAGGTGGATGTTTTAAGAACTCCATTCAGAAGTAGGGCATATTTGTCAAAAATACTATTTACATTTTTTTGCTTATTTCTTCTTTGTAATTACTAAAATGAGTTGCACTGAAAAATAGCTTTGGTGATGATAAGGACTGTTTTCCTTTTATATTGGAAACTAAAGGAAAAAGGGTAAAACTTTTTTATGAATAAAAATAACAATTCAATACCTCAGATTTTACTTACATCTTTCAAAAAAAATCCTAAGCAAATGTTGAAGATATTCAATACCTTTAACATGCAATTTAACAAGTGTTATAAAAATAATAATGTTAACTAACAGAATACAACAACAAACCTTATTGGCAAGTTTCCGATTCAGCTCTTCCACCACTGCATCATTAAGCGTTTGGCCAAAGAGCCACGGAGGGATACGAACCATGTGACGTATCTCAGCCAACTGGAACATTGTGACTTTTCTGTAAAGCAATGAAAAGTATTAAAACAGTTCTGTTAATGCAGTTGTATTTTGCATGTTGCATTCTACTTGGAAAAGAAAATCTATCAAATTCTAATACTTCAACCATAAGAAAATATACCTTTATTGACAAATATATATATATATAATGTACATATTTTGTTGTTTACCCTCAGGCTTTTCTGATAATGCCAGGTGACCACAAATGTTACATAAATAATCTTCAGTTTTTAAGGCTACTGTCTCAGATAACTGGAATCTTAACACAAAGGCTGCATAAGGGCAGACCAAAACAAATTGAAGAAGCAAAAAGACACTAACTGAACATATTAATCTACAAATGTGAAGCATAATAGTGTGTCTACACATTGATGACTCCATTAGTACTTAGACACCAAGGAGCCAATCATTAGTCCTACTGATCCCATCTGTTTACCCTTTTTTAAATTTTAGAAAGATTCTTTTTTATTGTTAATCTTTACAGTAAGCTAAGGGAAATTGATGGTGATATTCTTGGAGAGGACAAAAAGTTTAAGTTGTTGGTATAAGAAATAATCTGTAGACAAGAATGGTAGCACCACAAATAGAGGGAAAAGATCACAGAAAGTGCCACTCAAAGCCTAAATCCAATCGTTGCTCCCAAGTTTTCTTGCCATGCATACTGAGGTGAAGACAGTGCTTCCCAAGGGGGTGTTGAGGATCCATTTCGGGCACACCCAGTTACGGCAACTTAGGCTGATGAATAAATTTTGTGACACGTACTGTAAAGAATTACCCTCTTTAGTTCTTTGATGTTATACATATTTCAATATTATAATAATCACAAGGTCAATAATAATGATAACAGTATCAATAGTAACAGCTTTTGGAAAAAAAAAAAATCCTGCAAATTTCCTGTAAATTGGGGGGAAATCAGGTGAGGCCACTACCATCTAATTGACTCCTTGGTGGCTGAGCAATTGTGCAGCCATCTGTATGCAACAAAATACAAAAAAATAAATAAATAAACAAAAAAATAATATGGACAGTACATTAAACTGCAACCAATGGGTTAAAAGGTGAAATACACCAGACATAACTGCAGTGACTGCTTATTGGTACTCAAATTCATGATCATCTCTACCACTGTTTGGTCTGATAAACATTCAGCTAATTCACCATATGTGGTGTTTACTTAGTGAGGTTCATCTGAAAGTGTTTGCCTGTATATGTACAAGATCTCCCATTGCAACTTCTCTAGCTTGTGGGCCAGAGCTTCATCCATACTACATGAAAACTGTTAGACATACATTAAAATAATTTATGTCACATGCCCTAACAATCCTGCCTACATGCTGAAGTCAACATATTGTTCACTAGTTAAAGTTCAGCCCACTTTCCTACATTCTGAATTTCTGACTGATGAACCAGTGACAAAAGGAATATCGAAGATCATGCAAATTCATAATGTCTAATAGTTTTAATTCAGCAACAGAGAAAAGAGATAAACAGAATATTTTGGGATACCCGCCTGTTCAAATTATTCCAACTCCTGACTTGATAATTACTTTGCTACCTTACAAATAGTCTCCTACTTGAGTGTAATAATAACCTTATCAAATATCTACATTTCACCATATTCTCTACTAATTCGCACTTCTCTAAAAAAAAAACATATCAGTTATTAGTTAACACGTTCCCCGACCTAAAACAAACACTAACACACATCCCTGAAACCCGAGACATTTCAACAAACACTTACATACCAACCTTACTCTAGACAAGAATACTCCAGTAACAGCCTAAGAGCCTTCCTCTGGCTGACAATACTCCTGACACAATACAATAGAAGCTTGCATCAGCTCGCCAGGCCTCCCTCGCCGACCATGTGCCCAGAGTGTTGTTTACGTCTCAGCTGATTCAGCGGAGGCACAGCTTTGCAAAGTCTGTAGGAAAAGATCCCCTTACTTCGTCGTTGTCATAGTTGTTCATTAAATGTGGATAATCTTTTTTTTTCTAATTCTTCTTTTTATTTATTTGCATTCTCTCTCTCTCCTTTCTCTTCTCTCTTCTCTTCTTCTCTCTCTTCTCTTCTTCTCTTCTTCTCTTCTTCTCTTCTTCTCTTCTTCTCTTCTTCTTCTTCCTCTCTCTCTCTCTCTCTCTCTCTCTCTCTCTCTCTCTCTCTCTCTCTCTCTCTCTCTCTCTCTCTCTCTCTCTCTCTCTCTCTCTCTCTCTCTCTCTCTCTCTCTCTCTCTCTCTCTCTCTCTGAAATTCACCATCTCCCTACCTCATGGTACCCCCCCTCCCCAATGGCAATATACTCTGATACCTCTACTGATCCTGACGGAACAGCTGGGATTGGAGCATTAATTCCTGGCATTTCTCTTAACAAAATACAAAATTCCTACTGGACAAGCACAACCGATACCGAGTCAGTTGCCATGCACCATGCCATCAAAGAAGATAGTGAACAGCTGCGACACCTAGCTGTCTTCTCTGACAGCCAATGTGCACTCCACAGACTTACTCCATTTACTTCAAGAAACATGGTAACTAGGAATATCCTACACCATATTTCTAGCTTATCAGAGCAGAGTATACAAGTGTCACTATGCTGGATACCCTCTCATATAGGAATATCAACATGTGACAAGGTGGATCAGTTAGAAAAACTATCACTCACCCGCGAAGAATCATACCATGCATTACCATTATCTCCCAAACAATTGAAAAAAAACGTGTTTTCATGCGCTTTCGATATGGACCATCGAAAAACTCAAGAAAAATGTTCATAGTACTATCTGGATCTAAGAAACTATTGCAGGGACATCTGATGTAGACAAACCATATAAAATCTATAATGGACTGAAGAAAAATGGTCATGGTACTATCTGGCATTATGAAAGTATTGCAGGGACATCTGATAGCGACAAACCATATAAAGTCTATAATGGACTGAAGAAAAATATGAACGGCGCCCAAGTTGCATAACTTTACACATTACTTACTTGTTCCTCGAAATCTACATCCTATTGATCAAACAGTACCGTCCAGAGACCAGCACTTACTGATTACATTAGTTTTATTATGGACACTGGTCTTATCTTTGATATGATTAGTGATTTAACAGTTTTTTTTATCAACTAGATGATGTGTGAATAATGCAAACACAATGGCACAGCCCTTCAGGCATGTATAAAATATGTTTGATTGACAACCCTCTAGAAAAATAGAAGCACAGTTAGTTTGGATAGATGCTATAGCGTCTTATCCTGGCTTTTTGCAGGGGATGTAAACTGTTTTGTAAATCATTTTTATAATCAAATCTCGCTCTCTCGCTCTCTCGCTTGCTCTCTCTCTCTCTCTCTCTCTCTCTCTCTCTCTCTCTCTATATATATATATATATATATATATATATATATATATATATATATATATATATACATATATATATATATATATATATATATATATATATATATATATATATATATATATATATATATGTGTGTGTGTGTGTGTGTGTGTGTGTGTGTG